AAATACTAGTTCTTTGTAATACCATTTAATTAAAGAAAATTGAAAGTATTTCCCCTACTTTTTGAAAATTCATGCTGCAGTATTATCCCTGCAGTTCCCAATATAGCATTATCCACCAATCCTTCCTTTCCTTAAATCTGTAGCGCTCCAATTCTCACTGAATAACATCTGAAGAGCTTGAGCCAAAATAATCAATGGGTGAGTTATAGTTCTATAATGGAGATGAGTATAAAAGTTATACCAAGAACTGAAGCCAGAAACAATTAGCAGCAGCATGAATTTTCAAAAAGTAGGGGAAATACTTTCAATTTTCTTTAATTAAATGGTATTACAAAGAACTAGTATTTTAATGGCAATTACAAGTGACCCCTCAAACAATTATATGTAACCAACATTTCCTTCTTGTTTCAAATGTAACCATCTTATGTTAGGTTGGACACATTGAGAATTCTGATCTTTTAATACACTTATGTATCATATGTATCATATAATTTAAAATCACATGAGACATAAGAGTTAATTTTATCTGCAAATGTGACTTAAAGTCACCTAGGGACTGATTTATTCACATAAATTGTTCAATTTGGCTTCAAAGCTTTGGCTTTTGTTTGTTTATGGTGCTACATTCTTGTGCTATGGATCTCTGTATTCTGCTGCTGTTCTTTCATTTGAAGATTTTCTGCAGGGTTTTCCTTTTTACATTTCGTTGAGACTATGATGTAAACGCTTCTGCTTAGAAAAATCCCAGCTATCACTGCAAAGTAGCTTCCATATATTAAGAACTGCAATAAAACAGAAGAATCAAGAATCAAGCTATTTTCCCTAGGAAAAAATCATTATATATTAATGTTTTTCAACTATTTTGCCTATTAGTATTATGTCTAGCCTCTTTTAAGTGTCAAAAAATGAAGCCCAAGAACCTTGGCTATAATACTACCTTAAGCAACTGTCTTTGCAAACCATGAGAGACTCCTGAAATGTACATTGATGTACATAGCTAAACCGATATAATCTCTTGAGTACAACCCCAAAGGTTTCATTAAATATTTATAAAATGAATATCAAATGATACGCACTGGCATGAAATGAGAGTTCAGATCTACATTTTAAATGGTCAAAACCATTTAAAAATGGTATGAAGAGAGCATAGTCCTGGGATGGTGAACCTATGGCACGCGTTCCACAGGTGGCACACGGAGCCATTTGTCAGGGCATGCAAGGCATTGCCCTGTTAGCTGGTCAGCGCGCAGGCGCATGCGGGCCAGCTGAATTCTTTTTTAAAGCCATTTTAAAGCTTCCCTGAAGCCTCCGGAGCGCAAAAAAATGACCCCATAGGCAAACTGGAAATTCGGGAACGGACTTCCTGTTTGCTCGTAGGGTCGGGTTAAGCCCTCCGGAGGCTTCAGGTACCTTCAGGAGGCTTCCCTGAAGCCTCTGGAGGGCTTAAACCGGCCCTACAAGCAAACAGGAAGTAACTTCTGGTTTGCTCGTAGCGTCGTTTTTAGTCCTCCAGAGGCTTCAGGGAAGCCTCCTGAAGGTCCCTGAAGCCTCCGGGGGGCAGGGGAGGCTGTTTTCACCCTCTCCAGGCACCTATAAAGCCTCTGAAGTCTGGGGAGGGTGAAAAAACCATGCAAAACGTGGGGATGAGCGCTTCCCATGCGTGCATGCGCACTGGGGGTTGCACGTTGCATTAAGAGTGTGGCACACCCGTGCACAACCCCCCTGCGCTCCCCCCACTTATGGCACGCAAGCCAAAAAAGGTTCACCATCACTGGCATAGTCCAAACTCCAAAAGCTACTAAAATTCTTGTATAAAAATTTGTTTTTGGACAAGGAACTAATTTACTATGAGAGCATTATCTGTGGTTCCAGGGCTATTTTTGTGTGCAAAAAATACGTTAAGAATAATTAAATTCACCTTTCTGTGAGACTTGGATTTATTAACAAAAAACATGCCTTTTGTTACAGTGCCTTCTTCAAATTATAAGCAATCCATTCCTTAAAATACAAAATTGTTACCTAAGAAACAGTGACCAAAGTTGATCTGAAGGTCTAGCATTCCATATTTCTTCCCATCCCAGAACTCAACAAATCATCTTTTTGTGATATTTAAGCAGCTCCTTACATTTATAGGCAATCCTTGATTAAAGCCTACCCATTCAGCAACTGTTTGTAGTTAATTATGACACTGAATGAGGGGGACTTAAGACAGGTCGTTATTGTGTTGATTGTAACATCCCCATGGTCTCATAATTGCAATATGGGTCCTTGGCAACCGGCTCACAGTTATGATGTCACAGCATCCCACAACCATGTGATGTCATTTGCAAACCACTGAGGTTTCTGACAAGCAAAATCAATGAGGAATGTGGCAAGAAGTTGCAAATGGCATTCATGTGTTGAGCTTTATGGTTGCATCAGTTAGCAACATAATTCCTGCCCCAAAGGTGCTTTTTCAAGAGGCAACTGGACTTTCTAGTTTTTCTTTGAAGATGTTTCACTTCTTATCCAAGAAGCTTCAAAGAAAAACCAAAGTCCATTTGCCTCTCGAAAAAGCACCTTTGGGACAACCATGTCCTGGATAAGAATCTCCATAGACATTTAACAGCAATAGCAGTAGACTTATATACCGCTTCATAGGCCTTTCAGGCCTCTCTAAGCGGTTTACAGAGAGTCAGCATATTGCCCCCAACAAT